TCTGTATAATAACCATATGACATCTCTGAAACAATTCATTTGTTATATTGACCACCAAACCGGTTCAGGAAACCAAAATCCGAAACTGAATAATATCCTCTTACCATAACAACGTTGATTTGAACATTTTAAGTGCTAATGTTCTTTGAATGGGTTACATAAATCAGATCACTCGGATCCGATGGTTGATAGCTGAAATGGTCAGTTAAACCCCTCGGGGTTAATAATTGATATCAGAAACGTGGGCACGGATATGAATACATTTGAAATTTGAAAGATTTATTGATTTACGCTGTGGTTGTGATTACAAGATTTAATGAAGAGTAATGAATAAATTAACAGGAAACATTGCTTGAAGAGTAACGTTATCGGCAAATCCATGGCAACATATAGCTACCGATAATGTGAATACCATACCATAACGTTAAATACCATGAAACCACATTGACATCATTTTGAGATATTAGCCATGTAAACTTTTCAACTATGACGTCTGAATGAAGTAACCTTCTAACGTATCTGGTCAAATCGCTGGCAGCAAACTGATAACTTTTTATGCTTTGTACATAATTCATTGTCGTTTTTGGAGAAAGGAGATTATTTATTTGACTTTACAGATTTGATACTTTAGGGCTTTGTGTGTTGGAGCCTTTGCCAGCTATATCACTATTTATGCCATGCTCAACAATATTGTTTGGTTGGTAGGGGTGGAAGACTTTTGTACATGGGAATTCACTCCTAATACAAATTTCATATTTATATATTTTTAATTTTACACACAAAAAAATACATATCTTAAAATGGATTTAATATGTAAAAAATCATATGAGTGTGGCCTGGTTCAGTATGACGTCATGGCATCCAGTTGTGGTCTATGATGACACAACAGTTGTGTCCCCTCACCGTTGTGTCCCACCCGCTGTGCGTTTATTTCCTCCCAAAACCCGAGAACCAAACCCGTGATCCTGGTTGGACAAAGTGAGTGAGTATGGTTTTACTTCGCTTTTAGCAATATTCCGGCAATATCACGGCGGGGGACACCAGAAATGGGCTTCACACATTGTACCCATGTGGGGAATCGAACCCGGGTCTTCTGCGTGACAAGCGAACGCTTTAACCACTAGGCTACCCGACCGTCCCTGGTTTCACAAAAGAGGAAATAATAAACATCCACAATCCGTGTCAGTTGGGTTTACTCCAAAATAATAACGGACATGCTGTTAAAAGCGGCATTAAATCCTCATTCACTGCTTCAATTACTTAATGGAAATCTAGAGGTCCTACACATGAAACCTTAAATATAATTTGCCTCATCACGCAACGTACACTCACGCACAGGTGCACGGGTAATCGTCTGCAAGTCGTCTGAGGGCGCAAATCTGCTTGCAAAGTTGTGTCAATTAATCATGACAGAATCCTATGATAGTGGGTTCTGCTACCATATCCTACTCCATGGTTCAAAGCGGCGATATCCCCCCCCCCCCCCCCCCCCACCCACACACACACACACACACACACATCAAACTTTTAGCTGTGACCGTGACTCACAAGTCCTCAACCATGACCATGGAATATATGTATTTTATGAAACCAGTACCAATCTAGAGTATTAAAAAGCAAGCCTACCCAGCTCTAAAACAACATCAGGAAAAATAAATGTTACAGAAGAGAATTGTACTGTTTAATAAAAGATGTCAGGGACTATATGCTGGATTTATACATCCAATACCAATTAATATTAACTCACAACTTCCCATAATCTACACTTTTTCCCTGATGGTTGAAATGTACGCTCACACTGATTGTGTCTTAACAATTTGGCCCAATCGGTATCTAACACTGACTAATCAGCATTTCGACGACCTCGGGGCGGCCATGTGCCCGTGCGAGCAAAGAGGCTGCTGTGGCTGAATGACGACCACCCCACAGCACGGTCCGGCGAGTAGATGAGCCTGCTTCCTAAAACAAGGCAATGTGGCTGATAAGCCCATATGTTAACAATGAAAGATTGATTTTTGTATTAACTCAGATTTCACACTCGGCAGATGCCCAAGCCATGGCCTCCCCTTGTGACATCACTATGACTCAATAGTTCCTTTTGTAATTAGACCTAATTTTGGTGGGCTCAATCGACTGGCTCAAAGCTGAATGGGCTGACAATTATGCAAGGAAATACACTACGCGGAAGAGGGTTGAGTGTTATATGTGTCGGCTGGGAACAAAGACAACTCAGAATACGACCTATTTTTAAATCAGTTATTTTGTGGGATTTCATATCTGATTGGCCATTTCTAGGAACCTCTTCACTGGATGAGTAATGCTCCAGTGAGGATATGTGTGAAGTCATATTACATACGTTATTTCCAAACATGGTAGGACACAGCAATGAAATAATGATTAAAGATAAATAAGTTAAAGCCTCAATGAGTCATTATTCATCTGTCGAATCGCATCCGTGAGAAAATGAATGAAACTTTACGTCTGTAAATAAGGGTTTGAATTAAGATCCTTGAATTAAAGTGATTCATTACTAGTTATCGGGGCTAGCTACTCATCCCACGCTTCCGGTCACTAGCCAGTGATAATCAACAAATCATGTCCCAATTTTAAGTTTAGTCACCTTAAAGAAGGCGTGAGGCTTGGCAGTTTCTGTATTGGTTATGGTCGCCATAAATCGCAGCTATATGTACCACTCCGCCCTAACTTTACATAGCCGCCAAAGATCGCTATGTACTGCTTCGCTTTACTAGCCGACATCTGCTAGTCGCTATAGATCGCTGTTTTCTGCTTCACTTTACTAGCCGACATCTGCTAGTCGCCATAGATCGCTGTTTTCTGCTTCGCTTTACATCCGACATCTGCTAGTCGCCATAGATCGCTGTTTTCTGATCCGCTTTACTAGCCGACATCTGCTAGTCGCCATAGATCGCTGCTATGCAACATTCCGCCTTACTTTCAGACATCTGGTACTGCCGCCATAGATCACTTTACTATATCAGTTAATCAATCTTTTAATTTCACAAAAAGAACCCACGGTGGTACAGGAAAAACAAGTTCTTTCCATAAATAATAATTTGTATGTAACAAGATGTCTGGCGACATTTAAACATTTAGCTTGAAAATTGGTATGTATAGACAGTCACGGTACTTATCTATTATACATAAGAATTTTGCAAGGTATCTTATTTCTTTTACATTTCTTGTACATAAAGTTTCCTTTATTAAATGTCACAAGGAAACTGCGTATGGGACATCGATGATGTAGTGTAACAGCGACTGTAGACTTGCACAAGTCTCTAAGGCAGTCATTATTAGTTTAGATAATAATTTCAAGATTATGTAAATAATAAGAACAAGTTGTCCCTTGGGCATGTTTAAACTGCTTGCCTCTTAAGAGGATAGAACTACTACACATCAAAGGTCTTATATGTTAGTACAGCCTTGGAGCAAGGCTACAGCGACCGGTAGATGTGGGATTCTGATAGCGGAGTAGAACATGACTACTACTGCGCAGCTGCATTGGAATATTATGGCGTAAATTACTTTTCTCTAAAATATTACATAATGATTGTGTTTGGCATATAGACATGCAGAGTACATAGACGTTGTAGAATTTTAGAATAGTTTCACCTGAAAATGATAACGATGTCAATTAGGCCTCATCAAGATAAAATTGTCTTTTGCAAGGCAGGGGTATGGTTGTAATCAAGAATAGTTAACCCACAATTACGTCACCTGTCACACGTATCGAATATGCGAATTTCAGGGAGTGAGTGAGTGAGTTGGGTTTAACGCCGTTTTTAACAGTATTCCAGTTATATCACGGCGTGTCAGCTTAATGTGGGAGGAAAGCCCGAAGTGATGCAGGTCTCAGACGTTTACCACTTCGGTGAAACCCACGGGAACGGGGGTGGTGCTGACAAACCTAGAACCGGGATTCGAACTCACAATCATAGTTTTCTGGTGTGCCAAAGGGACGCAACTCTGCACAGCGAATCGCGGCGCCTTAGACGACTGAGCCACCCGTGCCCCCTCAAGGTAAGAGGTAGTGCACGTGTAGCGGCCATTAAATTATCGAGTGCCTTGTGAGATTCCATCCAGGGACCTACTCATCCGAAGTCAGGCGTCCACATGACAAAGAATGAAAGGGAACCGCGATGGTGCCGGCGTATTTTTTGTTACATACGATTTGTAATTCGTTTCGTGAGATATTTTTTCCGTTTAATAAACATGGTCATAATTAATTGTCATGTTCTCCGTCATACAAGTGAAGCTACTAAACAACACAAATACGTTGAAACAAACCGTCACGTAGTTTCTCCTTAGGCGAGTGACTTTGTTCGAGATGTGCCTCTGTTCACCCAGCAGTAAATGGGTACCCGGTAGGATGTAATGGTAATTGTTAACCTTCTAGCGCCTCTCGGGCAGCTTGGGTTGTATACTCCATCGTGTGCACATTGACCTACCGCACATAGAACCTTGAGTTTGCCCCTTTGTGGTGTGGAAATGTAACGAAATTATGGCCTGTAATTATTACAAATTTGCTAGGACCCCAAATTAGTTCCGCTTTAATTTGGGGTTTGGGGTTCAGGACGACATATCTGCAATAAAGCTGGCAAATACAATACCACAGCCCCACTTGAGCAGAGGTTATCATTTCCTGTTTGAGATGGACGCTTAAAGCACCTGTAGAGGTGTAACCCTACAAGCGAGAAGCATCAGTAGGCTCCTGGAGAGGCTGCCTCGGCAGGCGCCCTACGTCGCCAGCAGCACGGTAGAGAAAACACACCTAGCTCTCAGGCACTTAGTGACCGCTTGAATAGTTAGCTGCTAGCTCATCTGCCGTTGCTTGGTAACAGAAATAAACGCCAGACTTTAAAAACATAATGATGGTTGCTAACCACCTATGGGATCGCCTTTTCGGCAGTTCGGAAGCACTTGCTTCCTTGCTGAAGTAGCTATTTGATCTGACCAATATTGTTCACACAAATAAGAAAACATTTGTGGTTCATTTTTAGTTTATTCTTTTACAAAAATATGGAATCTTTGATTTTACAAAAATATCATGTCATGGTGAAAATAAATATCAAGCAAAACATATCTCTAAGCAAACAACAACAAAACAACGTTCATGGCTTCTTAAATAGTCTGATATACATAAAATGTTTGTTCTTATCGTTCATCATTCATTCATTCCTTTCACGATATGGTGTGATCTCCTGTCACCACGCGATACGGAAGTTGACCCTTGTGGATAAATCAGGTCACGTGACCGGTATCGTATGCATTGTCTTTCTTCACCCGGTTCCGCTTTGCACTTCACCGAGAGATTCTCCTCCGAAGCGAATGTCCCCTCTCTTGGATATAATACTGCTTGATTGGAATACTGTCAGATATCACATGATTCATTGTCCGTATTGCACTAGCAATACAATAGCTTTGACACTAATACCCGATTAAGGCTGCGCTGACTAAAGTGACCAGTTACACACTCGAGTATTGCACAGGATGCGCGAGGTATGACGTCAGTGATGACGTCGGGTGCTGTCGGTCCCGGACAGACGAAAATCCCCCAAAAGAGGACACTTGCCTATCGGGAAAGCACGTATAAAGGACAACCCTTCACGTTGACAAAGGATGACGATCCTTGCTGAATTGAACCTAACGTTGAGGGGAGACAACTCAGATGATCTCACAGGTGGCGCAGCAGGTGTCGTCTTTGGGTCGGTGTGATCGTAGGCCCGAGTCGACGGCGACTTCTTTCAATCTCGGCGTGCCTGCTTCTGTCATGGCTGAACACTCAACGTAATCGGCTCCTATCTTTGAGGCCATCTGCAGTCCTTCCTTTGTCTGGACGAAAAGGTGTGGGTTGTAGTTCTTTTTGTTCTCGGCTTCGTCGCGCATGTCAACTTGCGTTCCAACAAGAATGAGCTGGCTGTCCGGCGCATAATGCGTCACTTCCGGTACCCACGTCTGCAGCACGCTCTTAATGGAGTCGGGATTCCCGACAGAGAAACAGATGAGAAAGACGTCACAGTTCATGTAGGCAAGCGCACGAAGACGGTCAAACTCCTCCTGAAGATACAAAATACAATAGTTAGAAACAAAGACATGTCTACGCATAGTTAAAAGAAATGAAATCTTGAAACCGATACTTTGTCCCGCTAATGTGAAACTTGAATCGGATTGCTGAGTCAAGATATAGGGTTTTGTGTGTTTGTTTTATGGCGACTACGCTTGTCGTAAGAGGCGACTAACGGGATCGGGTGGTCAGACTCGCTGACTTGGTTGATGCATGTCATCGTATCCCAATTGGGTGGATCGATGCTCATGATGTCAATCACCGGATTGAGGTGAGTGCGGCGTTAAACAACAAACAAACAAACAATCACAATCCTATACCTATCTGCATCATTAGCGTCCGTAAAAACGATCTCGACTCAGCAATTCGGTTCAAGTTATCAGTTTCCATGCTATATGTCTTAAAACGTGCTCTGACCGCCCATATCAAAACGCATTGATAGCTATGAACGATGCGTATTTTCTTTGCTACATTCAAGTATTAATATGGATATTAGATTTCTGAAGAAATAAATATTTCCTTAATACACAACAACATTCTATGCTATTTCCTTGAAATAAATATGTGCATTTTTAGTTTCCTTCATGCCAGGAAAACGCAACTTGACAAGTCTTTCAGAAATAGAGAACAATGAACATTTCTGCTTTACATACCTGGCCTGCCGTGTCGAATATACTCAGAACGTATGGCTTCCCATCGACTGTGGTGGTGGCTGAAAAGAAATAAACACAATTAGCCCAATTACAACAATAACATGTATGTATAACAGATGATCACTGATGAAAGCTGACTTGGATTCCATCTCCAGAATCACTTCGCTATCTAACACAGAGCACGGTTCGCGTCTGAACGTAAAACCAGTTACGTGGACACGCCCGCTAACAGAGCATCAGGGATGGCGTGAGGGTGAGGCTCTGTTACGCCGAGTTGCATGATGAGTTTTACATATGATAGCTTTATGTGAAGATGTAGATGTGATGTGGTATTATGTGAATATGTTGCTTCAGGTGGGAGTCGGGGCTTACTGGTGAAGTAATATTTATCAAGCGTCATGGTCAATAAACAAAGCTGTTGGCCATGTTTGCTCAAGACTGGAGAATTTGTTTGAGAACACTTGTCGTCGCATCTTTAACATGAAGCATTAGCCAGAACAACAAACAATATCGTGCATACTGTCAATGAGAATCACCCGTTTGACCTACTGTCCTATGGAGAGCGCTGTCATTGTATAAAACCCCCCAGACTATTCAGTTGTATTAATGGTTTTAACTCAAAACAGAACAAATTATTGAATTCTAACACCGACAACTTCTATTCAATGTTATTAATGGTTTTATCTAAAAACAGAACCATTTATCACGAAAATGTGTTGTATGATCCGTCAAAAACGGCTTAACCCCTTTACAAAGGTTCATACAACACATTTTTAAAATAATTTTCTTCCAATTATAAGATTTAGACGTAACTAACATAACACATGCGAATACCATTATCAAAACACGCATGTGCTACTAATATTTACTTACAGTAATTATCACGTTGATTTTGAACAAAAGGTGTCGATGTCATTCAATCATTGTGCAATGTAGATCAGATCGACGCTGATTGACGTCTGATTGACCATGTACCCCCGAAGCGATTTTAACACGCGTCAACCAAATGCCACAAAGTCCGCGCACCTGTGTTAAATTCCCCTCCGGCGACCAGAGGCCGCATTATTGACGCGCGGCATTAAAGCATACATCCTATAAGCACCTGTGTTGTTAATGCTGATTAAGCGGATTGACAGCAACGACCCTAAAAGTCACAAAAGTCACGTCGTGATATTGACAAGTTATGAGAACGTCATCGCATAACAACAGACACGCGAAAGTGTGGCACAACGTACTTAGAGGTTAGCGATCCGACGCTTTTAACAAGACCCAGTTCGATCTCTCTCTCTAAGTTACTCGGGGCACCACGATCACTCCTTAAACGATGTGAAATATCTCAGATGTTTTTGTGTTACCTTGGTGGTGGATGAACGTGCTTTCAGCTGCCGCCAACGAGTCGCCGGACGTCACAAATCAGGGTTGCTTATTGAGTACGATGGAGTCGGACAATAGGGTGGTGATGCAATATTAGTCAACACAAATTACTCTCACTTGCCCACTACCGTAAATATTCCCTCCGGGGACTGTCTGACGAGTCTTGTTAAACCACTTCGTCTAATTACTAGTGTGTGAGTTAATTAACCTCCATTATGTCGTATACATTGCTGCAATCATAGATCTATTGTTAGTTCAAAGTATGAACAAACTTGCCTACCTTTGTTTCATTAATAAATAAATGAACACTATTTGATATAAAATCGCCAGTTTCAAAATTAACATCATGAAAATAAAATTAGATGTTTAAAATAATTTTAAAAAGAGCTTATATTACAACTAGTTAGGTTGACGGTATCGTATTTGGGTTAAAATGAATAATAACGTTTTTTTCTGATTCATAAATCATAAACCCCATAATGTGTCAATACAATACGCCTTCGTCGCAACGTGGTATACATACGGTTAGTCATAGTTTGGCGACAGATGACCGAATTGCAAACCTCACGCCATACATTATAGATCAATGCGCGTTCGGGACTGACTTAGAGATGTAACTTTGTCCGATCAATGCATATAGAAGTAGACTTAGATAGGTCACTTTGTCCTACTGCACTTCTTTCTTGGCAGAGATTCGCGAAAGCAGCTTGCCTTGAAAGTAAATCTCGACATCAGCGAGACTTTATCCCAACACGGACACAACGAGAGAAATGCAGTCGGGCCCCGCTACCCCACGAACACAAACACGTTCTGTGTCTCGCTACTGCAGTTCCTTCTACCGAACAGTGTTGTGACTTGTTTTCTACAACGGAAGTTCGCGGCCTTGGCAGGTAGCACATAAAGAAAAGACTCAAAGCTAAAAAAATATTCCGACATTCCCGTCTAAATTCGCCCAAGAAAAAAACATCATCTCCGCGGAATCATCATCTGGCGAATTCAAGCTCAATTTAAACACCCCCTTCACCCACAACCGCACACTCCTAAGAATCGTCTCTACAAATTGAAATATTCTACTAATCGTTTCGTGATATAAAGTAATTTTAATACTAATCTTTCTCTAAATCATGACCAAATTCCTCATTTGACTTCCTCAATATTTTTTTATCGTGTTATATTTATGTATTTTTCTTTAAATCTGTTATTATTTCTCTCAGGAGTGCCATGAGTGAATATTTTAGACTAACCGACAGCCTATGAATTATTTAATTACGCAATAAATTTCGGTTTTGCTAATGCTGATGTCATAATGGATTAGCCAGAGAGACAATTATCTTCACCGGTTCTATTCTTTAAATGCAGATATTCATCGGTCATTGTGATAAGTAACTGTCCTTCAGCACTGTATGACTCATCGCGTTTGTTGTGATGGCAATGCATAAATGTTTACAGATATTTGTGTCTTAAAAGACATTAATCCCGGCCATCACCAGGTGTCCCAACAGCAGATCCCAACTGCTCCCAGCCTCTCCTGTCGCGGCGACCCAGGACCCCCTTGGAGTGACCGTTGCGGGGGGTCAGGATGGAGAGGAACGTTTGCTATGGGAAACAGAAGGGGTCGGAGAATTCACGTGGAGCCGCGTTATTTTAGGACCATTAATCACGTGGTAGGGGTCGAGAGTCCAAAAAAGATTTCAGTAAGGAGATATTTTAAATGACCTTTATTTGGGCGTGATATGCTAATCCTTAATTTTCCTGCTGGGTGAGTGAGGTGTGTGTGATGGGTGGTGGTGTGGTAAATGAGTGTGTTTAATATTGATCACAACAAGCTGTCAAGGAAATATGCATCTAATCAGTATAAGTTTATTTGAAAATGCTTTGAGAGGATGAAGGGGTCTTCATCACGGATTGTGAGAGCTATGAAACATATTCTTTGTTTGAGTCTGAATTACGAAACTGACTGTGATGACATCCTAAGCAAGGAGTCATCCCTCCGTATCACAGCTGCATCCCTAATCCCCAGCCCCTTGCAACAAAAAGAGACCTTTCCTACGCCACCCTCCCCGAAGCTATCCCAGCTACCACCTAGAGACGTATTGAGTCAGGTGTGTGAGGAGGCAAAGGTGCCAAATCCCAGGCAGAGGCAACTCTGACAGAGAGTGCAGATTATACAATGCAATGCCAGGCAGTGCACAATTCAGAAACTGTTGTAAAACGCGTGAGTCGAGCTTTGATGAAGCGAGGCGAGTTCTAATCTCTTTGTGTGAAAAAAAACCCTGAAAAATATTAGTCTCCCACACGAAAGCTGATAATTCAGATTCCATGTGTGCACTGTCTGAAGGCGATTTGGCACGCCGTACTACCGCTGCACCACTAAAGGTCAAACAATGTTATTCGAAATTTCCCAACTCGGTTCGTTTTTAAAACCGTTCTATTTGTTTAAAGATACATGCAGGCATGTCTGTCTTACCATACGCTAATCCATCCCTGGATGACTAATATGCCTCAAGTTTTCTTTTTCATAACACTCCCAGAATACGGTGCCCTAGATTAATGAGCGTCTTTGACAATAGACACAACATCGTGGTTATTCAAAAAGGAATGGTTACAACAATATAACAACTTGCTGTAGACGAGGCATCGCACTGTGTCGCTAACTCCGGAAGTATTCAAAGAATGTGTACAGAAGAAAGAATATGTTCAAACTCCCTAGTAACAGATGTAGACGGAGTGAAAGTTATCCCCGAAATAAACGCCAATATCGCAGAGCATCAGCGAGAACAGCTGGCGAACACGCACCGCGTTATAACGAGGGAGAGAGAGAAAGACGGTAGAGACTCACCAGCATAGTTATCAAACATCGTTGGTGTATATTCCTCGCTAAATCCGTGAGCAGCAAGTCTTCGAGCCAAGCAGGACTTTCCTACAGTGGTATCACCAACAAGAACACACTTGATATTACTTTTGTCAAAGGATCTGTACAACTTGCTCTTCCCCATTGTTGTTATCCGAGTGCACTGACTGCGATATAAGCGTGTATCTCTCTCAATGAACAACGAGCGAATGGATTGTACGGATAGCGTGGTCTATAACTATATAACCACACCTCCTCTGTGACGTCACGTCCGACATTGCTGACAGCCAATCAGCGCGCGACAAAATGGGGCCATTTACAATGCTTTGCATTACAGTGTAAACATTGTGAAATTTAGTTCGACTCATTGACGAGAACTGTTACGCACCTTTAATCGGCATGAATTTCAAAGCAAGATTTTTAAGTGGTGGATTGTTAGGTTTTTTAGCGTCTCACCTACACTATCGTTATTGTTCTGCGGAGAGACATGGCAATGATAGCGGACGGATGATTTTCCGGAAGTAATGTGAGCAAGCGACGTCTAGGAAGTGACCTCGCTAGTTGTCCACATGACTGACTATGAACAAACTACGTTTCGACACAAACATTTCATATGACAGTCAGTCATGTTTCCTAGAAATTGACACCTGTACCTGTCATTCATGATGCGATGGCGACAACTTTGCGATATTGATTCCGTACGTGCACTGAGAGATCACGCGTGTCACTTGTCGATCCGTATTGGGAGTGACTGAATTATGCGTGCAATATGTTACTTGTAATTCATATTTATAGACCGTGGTTCCTACTTTTAGTAATAGTCATAATTCATATAATGTTATGGTTATTTTCATGAATTTTATATTTCGTTTCCTCTTCAACAGAATTCCATCAGATCAGAAACAATTATAGAGCATCAATCTGAGAAACATACACACGAATAGAGAAATATTATGCAAAATGTTATTACAATTGAACTCAAATCCATAACATTAAAAAATATATGAGTTTTAAACAATCTTGATAGACGAATAAGTGCATGTATGCTTGATGGGTGTATTAAGCAGGAAAATGTCCGCTCAACATATTACATTAGCGTCTTAAACGTTGATATCAATATATGAATGTATAAATATGTATTAATATTCTTAATTAATATTTGATAATAATAACTCGTGCTATACGCGTATTGTCATGTCTATCAATATGATACATAAAAGATATACAATTTCTCTCAATTCATTAAACATCCGGCTCAACAGCACTTCTATAGAAAATATGGCCCTTATTGTTAGCTATACAAACACAGGTTGATAAACATCTGCGTGATTGACAGACATAAAGTATATGATATGGCAGACACCAAATATTTGCTCGGCGCCGCATCTAAGAGCTTCAGACCCAAGTCAAACATCTAAACTTTATAAGCCAGGATGTTACATAGTTTATACCGCGCCTATCAAGGATAAGTCTCGTCTTGTTCGTCACAGAACCACTTCACAAGGCAGATAAGATACCCCACGTTTGTTCAGGTTATGTCATCATCATAGCGTGAAAAATAAATTCACGGTCACTTTGTGTGTTACTTAAATTGTAATGTTATGCAACGAATTGGTATAAAACAATAAACTAGATTAATCTTTACTAGGTTATACCATTTATGTTTTATTATATGTATTTAACACTAATTTTGATGTTTAATATTCTGGGCTATGATTTGCGCCAGGTGGCCAAACGTAAACTTTTGATGTAATCTTCAGTGAATAAAAACATATATAAACCCAAATGTTTTACCGATATTTAAAGATTCAGGTAACCTGGTTTTTTTCAAATTTCAAACCAAATACAAGTTTGATTTACAACCTGTAAACAGTTAAATGCCCCCAAGTAGCAAATATTCACCGACATAATATTAGCTTTTTGTTTTTTGGTGAAAAGAAAAGTGTGACATTAAAAGGACAGTATGCCGACAGTGGACATTATTTAGATTTCTGTTATGCAAATATTATGATGCAATTAAATATGGTTGATTTGTGATTTAAATATCGGCTATGGTAGGGATATGTTTTAATCCTTTAATATATATAAAAAACGTCCAATATCCAAATGTCTTTGTTTCTTAATCTGTATTTTTGAATTCGTTTCTGACCACAAACGTCAAGTGTAAATGACCGAATTGATATCGTTAATGATGAAGTTTTTATGGTAACATTTTTATTTCTTGGTACAAAAAAAACAATCGAGGCTTTTGTGAATCATATCACCACATCTAACGACTGGTACCACCGTCACGTTCGTCCAAGACGCGTACCTGTCTATAATCGTATCCCCGGGTGATACCCGACACAATGCTCCATGATCACAGAGCACCAGGGTGGTATCTTTCCGACCTTTGACCCTTGTGTTTACAATGCCTCGAAAAACAACTTGAATCTAAACTATCATCTAAATTGCCAAGATACAGCGAGCACCACCCTATGTTGCGTAATGCCATAAAGATGAGTATCGGGGCGAGCACGTTGACTGACACGACCAGCCGGATGACAGGCAAGGAGCACGGGGTGCACGGACGCAATATACACGTCTACTTCTCGCACGTTCAATGAGGGACCGTTACTCCTGTATGCAATAAACATGGATATTCAAAACATCACACATGCGGTGCGGGGCCACGTGTTGTCGCTGTGTACAAGAAAACTTCATGTTAATTTGGGAATACGCAATCGAGCAATCTATACCTCTGTGTTTACTACCAAGAATGTTAACCAAAATAATAACCATATTAATACAAAATATGTACGCAGTACGGGCACGCGTATTCGAAAGAATTTTCGTTTAAGGACTGGCAAATAAAACGTTATGCCACAATACTCCTTATTCCTGTATGAAGTAAAAAACAGTTTATACCTGAAAACATACAAAACAGAAAGGTAAAAGGTAGTGTAAGGAACTTATAGCCTTATAGCACTCTATAGCACTGCAAAAAAAGTCAAACTGTACAAGCTTGTATATGCTTTTGATAGATGAGATGTCCAAAGCCTAAACAATTTTGTATAGATGAGATATCCAAAGCCGAAATAATTTTGTATAGATGAGATACCCAAAGCTTAAACAATTTTGTATAGATGAGATAGTATATCTGATATAGGCATCTAAAGCACTAATGCAATAAAAACATATTTGCATACAATAGGTATTATAACCACAAGTAAAAAAATTCTCCCTTCTATATATTTGTTTTTATACGTGTCCTCAGAGGTATTAACGGTAATTATGTTCTGTTTATATGATCATAAAGTAATTAATTTGGTTTGCCTTCAAATGAGAATTGACACTTGAAACTGGGACTTTTACATAATTCATATAGGACAGAGATGGTGAAAAGTGTTTGCAATTTCAATGGTTTCGGTCCTTTTTTCCTGATATATTTATTCATTTAACCTTAATCAACAGTCAACATCATCATGATCATCCCGAAGTCAGCATCACCATCACAAGTCAGCCTCATACATGTTAGCATGAGGATTGTCATCAAGGCCTATTGCATTGTTATGGCCGATTTGCAGGTTGACTTACCAAAACTTAGAGAAACAAACGCCTCTCGTTTATTTCTTCTGGTAATCTACAGTAACACTTGCTTATAAGCCAATACACAACTCTAAACATTCTCTATCGATAACACAAATACCGAAAATGTGTAAGATTCCCATGCAGCTGTGTTGTGTTGTGTTATGGGTTGGTGTAAAGAGAGGATAATTGATAAACCTAAAGCACCACAGGAATATGCCGGGAATGTAAGCCATTCTCTTTACACGCTATACGCCTGTATCTCGTCAGAATATTTACAAGATTTACGACAGATACATGGGAGATTATATGATAAACATGGCCTAGAGAATTAAATAACGAACAAATAGTGTATCGGTGTTATTTGAGAAGCGTGTGTAAGAACAAGAAAACTTAGTAACTAGACAAGTGAGTGAGGGACAGCTTGCATGCACGTAGACAAACATATATTCTATGCAATCTTTTATTACAAAATAAATCGTTCCTCTAACATTTAATGGGGCGGTCGGGGAGCCTAGTGGTTAAAGCGTTCGCTCGTCACGCCGATGACCCGGGTTCTATTCCCGGCATTGGTTCAATGTGTGAAGCCCATTTCTGGTGTCCTCTGCCGTTATATGGCTGGAATATTGCTAAAAGCGGCGTAAAACCATACTCACTCTCCAACATTTCATATTTTTTCTGAACCTGATTTCGTGGACTATGGAAAAGAACAAGTTAGCAGGTTTTGTTTTCTTAAAATTCATATATTCCAAAGTCATGGCACAGGACCGGCTTGGACGCCATGGTTTCAGAATGGTTTCACACTGTTTGAATACATACGGGATCTGTGTTACAGTATTAAATAAGATCAGGGATAGGTTGAGGGGAATGGTGCCTTGTGATCATGTTGGTGACAGTAATAACAATCAGCTGGTGGTTTTGGTGCCACGCTGCTTTTGTTGGGGACGAAGATGATAAAAAAAAGATGCCGATGTTGATGAGGATGAGTATGATAGGTAATAATGCTGAAGATGCATATTACGATGCTGGTGCTGATCATGTTGCTGAAAATTATCATGATGATGTTAGTAATGATGAGGATGATAATAATTATAGTAATGAGTATGACAGAGTTGATGGTAATACATATTGACAGTGTATATGTTTGGTAAATTAACACAATCAGCTGAGCCAATGTCGTCCATTTGTGCAATGAAATGTTTCTTTATTTTAATTATATTATTGCATAGATTTGAGATACTAGTCTAAGGTCATAGGTATGAAGCACAGATTACATACTGAATGCAAGGTCATCCGCAACGCTAACTTCGAGTTAAACGTACAACATTCTATAGTAAAGTCAAAGTTGGGACTGATCGAGTCCAAGGTACGAGGTAGCGGTATGCATATTTATCTCAAATTCGAGATGAGCGTTTTAATCCATATGTATTCATATATAGATTTAAAAAAATATTCGAGATAACGGGTCCTGGCGGTATATTGAAACTAGACTGCAGAGCTTCAATGACATTCGTGTAAAGGTTGTGTCAAGAAATATCTCATTACTTTCTGTTGATTTCGTTGATAAATTCTGTTATCTCAATTTAGAAAATTCATCCAAAATTTGAACTTGCAGTAAATACATATTCTGCATTCTTGTTTATGAACCATTGCA